TGTCCTCTAGGACTACAACTGCTCCCTTTTCCTGTTCAGACCTTTCAATATTAGGAGACAGAGCTCCGAGCCAAATAAGCCTTGGTTCCCTGAACTGTGGTTTCAAGTCTTCTCACCATCCTACTCATTTTCTAATGAAATGGCCACAAAGTTTTCGATACCTCTTCTGAATTGCAGTGTGGCATGACCACACTGTGAGGAGCAGGACAGTGTTCCCTTTATTAGAGATTTTATGATGCTATTAATATGGTCCGAGCTTGCATTAGCTTTCTTGGCAGCTGCATTGTATTCCTGGATTTTGTTAAGTTTGCAGTCAGCCCAGGCTACTGAGAACCAGGGCTTCCTGTACTTCTGTAACCTCTTGGTTGGATTTGTTTAACCTAAAGGCAAGACCACTTTAAAGAATTGTATTGCCATGTGAGGAAGAGAGGGAGGGGGAAACAGAGGGAGAGGAGGCGGAGGGATGGATGGATTGGGCCTTTCTCATCTTGAGTCTAGGTGAAGGTCTCTTCAAGGGGAAGGTTCTTGAAAGCAGATCTAATCAAAGAATATCTCCGTTCCTCAGATAACTTTCTTTTCACTTAAGGCTTTTCCTCCTTTATCATTTTCTGTTAGTTGGTTAGTCCCATCAGATACATGTCACACGCTGGCCCCAAACGCATATAGGAAAGAGGGAAGAAGTTGGGATATGTGCCTTGGAAGGTAGTATGGTTCAGTAAAGAGAGCATGGGTTCCCGTTCTAGGCTGCCACTTACAGGCTATGTAATCTTAAGCAAATCAATTACCCTGTGTAAGACTCAGCTCCTTCTCTAATCACAGAATCAGATGTGCTCACACATGTTAAGTGCCTGATGCATAGTAGGCTCCTCAAGAAATGTGAGCTTTTTTTGAATTCCACCATTCAAAATTTTTGCAAGACATGAAGAGCCAAACATGCTATGTGCTCACTGACCCAATGCAAGCAGCTCTCAGAGCAACTGTGATACTTAATAACTTAATTTGTGTACTTACTTGTCCCGTTTTCCTATCCCGAATTCTGGCTGGGAGCTCTTTGTAGGCTAGGACCGTATCCAGTTAATCTCAGTGACCAGCACAGAGGCTGGCTTCAAGAAGAGGCTACTTAAGTTTTGTTACTGGAATGAACCTGAATTAATGAAGGCCAAATCTTTGCCCCCACTGTGTAGGGGGCCAGGTATTGTGGTTGACTTTGGACAATCTATTCTTTGCTGAAAATCTCATGAAATTCTGGAGCTCGGCAGTGGTGGCTCACATGCCAACCCTATTTGAGAAGTTTGAGCCCCCTCTGTGTCTCAATGCCATAGTGAGACAAGCTTCCTGGTAGCTGCCCAGCTGCCCTGTACAGTAGCCTAGAGAGCCCTGCTTTGGAGCCAGTAGGTGGCGCCCATGGCCCTTTCCCACTCTCAGCTGCCTATGTAGGCCTTTGCTTCTTGTCACCAAGGCAGCTGCTAACTGGGATGTGGCATGTAGCTCTGGGCAGAGGTACCCAGATGAGGGTGCTCTGGGCTACCCCCTCCACTTTCTGGCCTTATATTGTTGGTTTTCGTGTTTTATTGAATCTCAGCCATGGCACACACCGCTTGGGGAAGCACAGATGTTTCCTAGAAGATCCCAGGAGATCATTAGGGGAATCTGCTTCTAGCTACCCTTTCTGGCACAGCTCATGCCTTTGACTCCAAGAAGTCGTCCCTGTGTCTCTGTTGCTCTGACCTACACTCATGGTACTTTCCTCCAGGGTCCTTGTTTGTATTTTAGCTGTTTGCCAGGTGTGTAGTTGTCCAGTGAACACCTTGAAGTCAAGGACACTGCAGAATTCATTGAAGTGCCCTCAGTATCCTGATCAGAGTCCTATAATAACCAGTCTCATGAAATGTTTGTGGAATGAATGGGTGAATAACAGGAAGTAGTTCTTCAAAAAATTGTTATTCCAATTGAAGGACATTCTACAAACTAGCCTTACTCTACAAAAATATCATTATTATGAAAATCAAAGAAAGCCTGAGGAATTATTCTAGATGAAAAAAAACTGAAGACACATGCAAATATTTTATTCCAGTATTGATCCTGGCTTATATCTGGATCATGGGGCAGGGAGATTGCTATGAAGGATCTTATTAGGATTATTGGAAAAATTAGATATGGGCTGTATATTAGATAAACATTTTACCAATGTTAACTGTTCTGAATTTGATCATTATTGGTTAGTGATTGTATAAGAGAATGTCCTTGAACTAGGAAATACGTCTGAAGTATTCAGAAGTAATGGGGGATAATGTCTGAAACTAACCCTTACATGGTCCAGGAAAAAATAGGAAGGAGTTGGTAAAGCACATGAGGCCAAATGAACTAAGAATCTGAGTAAAGGGTATATGAGAAGTTTTTCAGTGCTATTTTTGTAATTGTTCTGTAAGTTTGAAATCATTTCAAATTAAGAAGCTAAAAAAATAATCTATACACTTTAGTGTGTGCCAAGTTCCTGCTAGAATCTGTAAGAGAGATGGGACAAAGAATGGTTACACCAACACTGGACTTTATTCCATTTAATTCAGCAGTATTCATTGATGTTCTGTAGCTCCTCCTTGGCACCTTTGAACAGATAGAACAATAGTAACAGTGACAACTAACATTTGGAAAATGTAAGTGCTTTCACATACATTATTTCCCTTGGTCATCTCAACACCCTTGTTAGGTAGGTCTGGCAGGCTCATGAGGTTCAGAGAGGTTAACATGACCTGCCCACAGTCACCCAGCCTGGAAGAGACAGGTGCAGGCTCCTATCCGGAGCAGTCTATTCCAAGGCTGATGTTTTCTGAACCTCATCCATATCTGTATGTATAAAAGGAAGAGTTGGATTGGATTGGATTGGATTGATGGCTGCAGATCATTCTTCAAATCCAGAAAGTTTAAAGTGCACTTTATACCCTGTGCCTGCACTCATAGGTGCTGCCAGTCCTTTCCCCCCTCACTGCCCACCCACTTCCCTTTCAAGTAGCCCAGGCATGACAGTACTGGGACGGACCAACTCACTGGAGTGAGAACTTCTAGAAAGCGTCTTAGAGCAGTGGTTCTCAACCTGTGGGACGCGACCCCTTTTGGGGGTTAAACGACCCTTTCACAGGGGTCGCCTAAGACCATCGGAAAACACATACATAATTACATATTGTTTTTGTGATTAATCACTATGCTTTCATTATGTTCAATTTGTAACAATGAAAATACATCCTGCATATCAAATATTTACATTACGATTAAAACAGTAGCAAAATTACAGTTATGAGGTAGCAACGAAAATAATTTTATGGTTGGGGGTCACCACAACATGAGGAACTGTATTAAAGGGTCACAGCATTAGGAAGGTTGAGAACCACTGTTCTTAGAGGAAGGGTCTTGAGCTGAACCTTGAAGGAGAGATGCTCAGTTCAAGTAGCAAATGCAAAAGGTGCCTGAGAGGCCTTGTGTCTGTGGAGTTAGAGCCCCAGGACCCTGCCTGAAGTGGCTGGCCCAGGCTGGGGTCTGAAACCGCCTTTCCTACTTTGCCCACCCCTCCCAGCCCAGCTGACTGGGTAGATGAGGCACAGATGGAGGCTCTGTGTGGATTCTAGCCCCAGGCGCCTTGCCTCTGCTCAGACAGCCTGGCCTGGTGCTGTTATTACTATAAACAGGACCTTCTGCGAGGCTCCAGCCAGGGCCGTGTTGCCCAGATAGTGATCATGATTGAGTCTGCATGGCTCACTGCTTCCAGGCCTCTGATGCAGGTGGGACAAGGCTCCTAACCCATCAGCCCCCTCCCCAGCTGCAGCTGAGGGCCCATTGCGAAGGATCCGGAAATCAGTTGGAACAATGCACAATTGAAGTTCAGTGGCCGCTTTGTATTGATTGGTTGTAAAGGAGGAGGAAGAAAAATCAAGTGGTAACTCCCTCTCCAGATTAAGCAAGCTGGTTAGCCAGAATAACTCAAAACTGCCCCATATCCTTTGTGGGACACTTCCCCTCCCTCCTCCATACAGCAAGCCTGAGGAGCTGTCTTTTCTTTGGAAGTCTTGCTGATGCCCATGTCTGCTAGGAATCCACTTCTCAATTTTTATGCTACACCTATTTAGAATCCTAAGATTTTAGAACCGGTAGGGACTTGAGGGACCATTTAATTCAGTTCCCTTATTTTACTGCAGAGGACAGTAAGGTTCAGAGAGAGTTATCCAGAATCATACAGCTAGTTACTGAGAGGGCCGTGACTGGGCTTCTAGCCCAGGTTTATGTCTAAGTTTCCTCTGCCCTGAGAGTGAGAAGCCGCACCCGCACCTTCTACATATACACAGGCACCTAAGTTCTTTGGAAGAGTCAGACACGCAAGTATAAAAGAAGTAACTTCCAACACAAGACAGACATATTGGTGGACCATGCTGCTACTGGGGGCGGGAGACAAGGAAACTGTGAGAACTGTTATACAGGTTAGCAGAGACACAGTGGCAGCATCAAGGCCGACTTAGGGAAGACTTCTTAGAGGAAGAAAGAATAAATTTTATTTTTTTCCTAAGAAAGTTTTGTGTGTGTTTTTTTAAAGTAATAGTATGCTCATTGTTACAAAAAATAAAACTTAACAATACAGAAATCTTCATAGCAAGAAGTAAGTGTGGCTCTCTCATTCCCCCTCTCCCTCCCCAGTCAGAGGTAATCACTATTGCCTGTTCGGTCTGTAGCCTTCAGAACTCTCTTGGATTTCAGAGATCGGAGCAGATTTGTTTTCACTTTGATTTGTTACTCTTCTGTGGAAGTCCTCAGCTCTTGGGCTAACAAATCCTTATTCTACTGCAGCCCTTACCAGGGAATTTGAGACCATTATCAATCCACAGAAAAATATGAGGACTTATGTTCTAAGTTCTATACATACCTTTCATATATCTATGTCCTTAAAATGGGTAGACACTGATTTGAAAATGATAATAGCATAGGCTATTGTATTTGTACATTGCTTTATTGCATATCAAGTATTTTTACAGATTTTGTCTCATTGTCTCTTCCTGGTACCCCTGTGTGAATATAGAGCAGTGTTGGCAGTCTTCTATGTTTTTCAACAGATGTGGAAACAAGCTCAGAGTGCCAGGAGCTGTTACTCAGATGAGGGGACTAAATGAGGGTCAGAAAGGCTAAGTCAGTCATTCATCCACAGCTACCCACCAGCAAGTGCCAGAGTCTGCATTTGAACTGGGGTTTCTCCTGCTTATTTTCCTGCCCTGCTCTACCACTTGCAAGTTGTACAAGCGTTGGGATGCAACTCTGGACTACTAGTGTGGTCTCTTTATCTACTGTCCTGGGTCACCCCTAGTTAGTGTCACCCACCCCTGCCCTGCCAAGCAGGAGACCTAGTTCATTAGGGAAGGGCCTTCTACAGTGCAGAAAGGCCTGCAGTGCCCACCCCCACTCTCAGCTCCTGGACACAAGCTGCTCTACCTTGAGTGGCAACCTGCATTAAGCATTCCACTCATCATCTCTGGGATGATGGAATCCTAACCTTTTCGGAGACACCGTGCTCTGTCACAAGCATTGCTCTTTTTAAAAGAGATTAATTCACTTGCCGCATTTTGTCCATTGGTGAAAATCATAGGGGAGACCAAGGGTGACTTTCTTAGGCCTCAGAGGCCCTTTCAGCCACTCTCAGCAGGCAGCCACCCGCCCAGCTGGCCCAGGACTTTGAAATAACTGCCTGCTGGGCATTCACTTGCAAAGCAACAAAATGAAATGGAGGAGACCTGGGTTTGGGAAATCCAAACTTTCGGGGCTACTGTACACACGGAGGGGCAGTAAGGAGGGGGTCGAGGAGCCCACCCACCTCCTAAACTGGAAAAGTTGTTTGTACTTGGGCTGATTTTTGGTGGTGTTTGTTTGTTCTGATCCTTCCTTGATCTACCAGGTGCCATCATTCCTGCCTCTTTTAATCCCTACAACCACCTTGCACAATTGGGATTAATATCCCCCATTTCACAGCTAGTAAGTGACAGAGCCAGAATCTGAACTCCAGCTTTTAGACTTCAGGGTCATTGCTTTTTCTATTATGCCTCAGCCCCAAGAGGCTGCAAAAAATGATGCTCAATAAGGAAGCTGGGTAGGGCTCAAAAGCTGAGTCTCACTGAAGAACACTAAGATTTGTTGCCTTTGAATGATCCCTCAGGTTTGTGGAGCCCTTTCCCTCAGATTGAACTGTCACCTCCTAAAACCCTAGTGGACCCATGAAGAATTTGAAGCTTAGAGAGATGATATGACTCCCCGAGGTTGTAAGAGTAGAAGGTGGCAGAACTAGAACTAGAACCCAGGTCTCCTGACTCAGTCTTTTGCTCTTTCAGCTCTATTAATTGAAAGAATTAGCAAGTTTGGAGGAGCCCGTTCTCCCAGCAATTCCTCCTCTTAAAAGAACCCTGCAATGTACAGAAAAGAAGACCCAAAAATGCTATTATGCATATAACAAGTAGCTCAGAGTTGTCGGTAATCAGAGGCATGTAAATTAAAGCAATAATATGAGATCCTTTACACCAGTTGGACTTGCAGTGCTAGGAAGCTTGCTACTTACAAGTGTTGGCTGGGAGAGTGGTACACAGGGACACCCCTGTCCTGCTGATGGAGCAGCTATCCTGTAAAGGATGTTGGCACAATTAGTCAAGCCAAGTAATGTAAACGCTATAACTCAGGCATCTCACTCTGAGTGCATGCTCCAGGGAAATACACATGTCCAAAGGGCACGTGCAAGAGGATGTTCTTTGAGCATTACTCTTGTGGAGATGGGAAAGGAGAGAAGGAAAATCTGATAGGATGTGGCATGGAAAGTTACTCAGCAGCTTAAAAAATGGAATTGTATACTTAGCAGTATGAGCATATCTTAAAGTGCAATTTGTGAAAAAAGTAATAAATACACACACAGACACACACACACACACACACATATATATATACACATACACACATATGTAGTCTTGTGTGTGTGTGTGTGTGAAACTTTCAAACTTTATTTATTTATTTACTTATTTTGTTAATCCTCACCCAAGGGTATTTTTCCATTGATTTTTTAGGGAGAGTGGAAGAGAAAGAGTAAGACAGAAATATTGATGTGAGAGAAACACATCAATTGGTTGCCTCCTGCACAAGCCCCGACCAGAGCCTGGGCTGGGGAGGAGCCTGCAAGCATGGTACATGCCCTTAACCAGAATCAAACCTGGGACCCTTTGGTCTGTAGGCCGACACTTTATCCACTGAGCCAAACCAGCTAGGACTAGAAAATTGATGAGAGAAAAACATCGATCAGCTGCCTCCTGCACACTCCCTACTGAGGATGTGCCACAACCAAGGTACATGCCCTTGGCCAGAATCGAACCTGGGACCCTTGAGTCAGCAGGCTGATGCTCTAAGTTCTATACATACCTTTCATATATCTATGTCCTTAAAATGGGTAGCAGGCTGAGCCAAACAGGTTAGGGCAAGGACTATTCTTTATATATATACTAGTGGCCTCGTGCACAAAATTCATGCATTTTGTGACGGGGCTGGGGGCAGGGGAGCGTCCCTCAGCCTGGCCTGCACCCTCTCCAATCTGGGACATCCTTCTTGCAATCTGGGACCGCTGGCTCCTAACCGTTCGCCTGCCTGCCTGCCTGCCTGCCTGCTTGCCCCCTAACCGCTCCCCTGCTGGTCTGATCGCCCACAACTGCCCTCTCCTGCCACGACCCGCCTCCTCTCCGTGAGGCGGCAGAGATGCCAGGACTGTCCTCCGCGCAGAGCCGCGGGACCCCCAGGCCTCACCGCACAGAGCGGCGCTGGGCCCCACCTCTGCTGTGCGCGTGGCCATCTTGTGGCAGCCACCTTGTGACGATGTCATGTGCAAGGGCCACCTAGGCTTTTATTAGTATAGATTTAAAAGCCTGGTTGGGCCCTGACCGGTTTGGCTCAGTGGATAGAGCATCAGCCTGCGGACTCAAGGGTCCCAGGTTCAATTCTGGTCAAGGGCATGTACCTTGGTTGCAGGCACATCCCCAGTAGGGAGTGTGCAGGAGGCAGCTGATAGATGTTTCTCTCTCGTCAATGTTCCTAACTCTCTATCCCTCTCCCTTCCTCTCTGTAAAAAAATCAATAAAATATATTTTTTAAAAAAAATAAAAGCCTGATTGGATTAGGTCCTAAATAGCAAGAACCTCTGTTTTGTCTCCTTGTCAGTGGCTAGCATATGCTTGGACACAGAGCATGTCAGTGCACATGCTTGTTGAATAAATTAACACAGGAGTGCTTAGAACAGGGGTGGGCAAACTTTTTGACTCAAGGGCCACAATGGGTTCTTAAACTGGACCAGAGGGCCGGAACAAAAGCATGGATGGAGTGTTTGTGTGAACTAATATAATTTCAAAGTAAACATCATTACATAAAAGGGTACGGTCTTTTTTTTTTTTTTTTTTAGTTTTATTCATTTCAAACGGGCCGGATACGGCCCGGGGGCCATAGTTTGCCCACGGCTGGCCTAGAGCCAGCCTGGTTGAATTATCTAAGTGGTCCTATGTGACCCTATCTCAGAACTCCTGAGTATTGGCCAACTTGCCATTACTGGCTTGAGACCAGAACACCTTGTTCCCTCAGAGGACTAGAAGTAGAATAGGGTGGGAGGTAGAAATTACCTGTCAAGCTATATGCCAGGCATTATGCTGCAATCACTGTAAATTAGAGTTTATCATCCCTAATTGATAGGTTAGAAAACTGAGACTCAGAATTGATTTGCTCAGGGTTATTCAGCTGGACCAGAATTTGAATTCCGGTCTTTATTCAAAGGGCTTTATTCAAAGCCCTTTATTCATCCTTTTTCTTTTTGTTACACTACACTCAGCCCTCAAGGGGCAGGAGGAGGAGGCATCTCAATCTTCTTTTTTTAGCTCTGTCTCCAGAGCAGTGCTGCTTTCAGAATTCTCTGAGCCCAGCCAGGCAGGGGAACACGGATCACTGGCCCACTGAAGACATGAGGGATTCTGGCTGTGCTGTTTCTCCTAGCCATGTCCTGCTTTCTCATGTCTCTGCCCTAGCTCATCTCTTTAGGTCTGTATTATAGCAGTCTCCAAACTGGTCTACTTGTCCCCGTTTTCTACTCTCTTCCCTTTCAGATTCAGCCTGCTTAAGCTACTAGGGTAATTTTATAATTTCTTTTGCCCCAAAACCTTCAATGACAACCATACTCCCTGTGTTGAGAGTCTAAGGAATAGTAAATAGGTTTCCTCTCTGTTGCCAGCTTCAGTTGATTGATGGTAGTTGATTGGAACCAATGTTAAGGAGGATTCTGAGGGTCTTTCAGAGGCCCCACAGGAAAGAACTGCTTGGAGAGATTTGTGATTTCTGACTTAG